AGCCCAGGTTGCTCCAGACCCCATCCAACCCCAGCTTCTCTGGGCAACCTGGGCCAGGGCCTGCCCACCCTCACCAGGGGGAATTTCCCCCAATATCCCACTTAACCCTGCCCCTGTCAGTGGGAAGCCATTCCCCCTTGCCCGGTCATTCCAGGCCCCTGTAAATGATTTACAGGAGCTGTGCATGGGGGGAATTACTGGAAAGCCAAAATGGAAAGAGTGGCTCTCATGGGGATCTGCAGGTGGCTCTGTCAGCATCCCGGGGTGGAAGGAGGGCAAGGACATCATCTTGTGGGTTTCCAGGAGAAAGAAGATGTAGAAGAGCCTGCACATGAAGCATTTCTGTTTGCCAGCTAACCACAGGAGCTCAGGGGCACTGCCCTGGCTGAAGCTGTGGCTGCTTTAAATGAGCCCAACAGTGTTCTGGGCCTGGCAGAAAGGACACAGGATCAAGGGCTGGGGACACTGATTCCAAGCCAGCTCAGGACTGCCCTCAGGGACCTCCCAGAGCATCAGCAAACTGGGAGGCTGGGTGCTGTTTTCTGGTTTTGAATTTATTTATTTACTTGGAGATCTTCCATGCAAGTATGAGTAGACCCTGACTTCTTAACTGGTGTACTGATGAATCTGCAGGTCTGTCCAGTCTTAAATGTGCCTCTTTTTCTTTCCTTGAGTTAGTGGTTAAGAAAATGGTACCTCAGAGAAATTCTTTGTGAGGTGACTGATTGCAGTTTTTGTTCCTTCTTGCTCCAGTGAGCACAAATCTGGATTCTCTTTGAGAATCATCCTGAAAATGCCTCTTTTCTATTCCATTGTTTTCTACTATTACTCTTCCACAGTTTGACCCAGTGTAACTGCATGAAGAGCAAATTGTTAGGGGAATCTTGGGCTGAATGAACCATTTCCAGAACCATTTTCTTTTTCTTTCTGTCACATCAACTCTGAAAATCTCAAAAATTCCATCAGCCTCTCTGCTGCAGCCCTAGCAAGAGAAGCCTGTTGGATGTGACTGGCCTGGGAATGAGGGATGGTTCAGACTCCTTTGGTCTCAGACCTGTCTGCAGGGCTTGGGGCAGGGAAATCAGATGCCAGAGCTTCTGGTCTTTCGGAGAAATGGAGCTGAGCCCCAGAAAACTCGTTTCAGGTTGCTCCTCACATGACTGCTAAATACAGGCAGCAAACATGTCATTTGGAGAGTTTCCAGCAGAGAGAGGGAAGTGCAGATGTTGGTTCTGCTTATTCTTATAATCCAGCACTCCCATTCCCAACCCATTCCATGGGACATGAACCCAGGCACAAAAAGGCTCAAGTTTGATCCCTGCAGCACTGCAATCAGTTCACTTGGCCACAGGAGCTGAATCCTCAGGAATGGGGCAGAGTTTGTACCAGAGCATAGCTGGAATACCAAACCCAGCAATGTCCAGACAAATACTGCTCTTTTGCAAAAGCTCACACCTGCCTCTCCAAGAGTCTGCATTTTAATGGAACTGGAAAAACAGATGTACAAGGTATCCTGGGAATAACCCCACACCTCTGTCTGACCCGAGACAATCTGCCACAAGTGTGGCAAAGCCTCTACTGGCCATTAACAGGAGGGAGGTCAGAAAACGCACAGGCAACACACACATGGCAGCAAAACTCAGCTCCTCCCCAGTGTCCATCCACACACCTCCTACTCCTCATTCCCACTTTGTATTCCAGTTTGCTTCTCCCATTTCTGGATTGTCTGGGGACTCTGTGCTTCATCCTGCATCATTCCTTGGGAACTGGTTGAATGCAATGACAGCATATTCCACATTTTCCCCTTGGGGCTTCCTGTGAGCCTGGCTGGGTTCAATATTGCAGTAAAGAGGACCCTCAAGGCTGGGCTGGGATTGCAAGTCCAGGTTATTGCGTTTTAGGCCCTTGCTGTCATCCTTGGAACTTTCTCTTCTTTCGGTGCTGCCAAGCTGTGAAAAGAAAGGGAAAATACTTGTTAGCATGACACAGTGCCAGGTCACAGCTGTTACCAGGAGACCAAATTCTCCCAGAAGGAAAGGAGAAGCCATGTAAAAAATACCTTTGGTCATGACAGAGGTGAAAGAACAGAAGACTCTTCTTCATCACCTCTCCTGGATACAGGTAACAACTGCATGGTCTAACCTTGGTTACTAGTCCTTCAGTCATTTCTCAGGGGTTACTAGAATTTGGTCCACTGTGTTTTTTTCCTATTGGAGTTTCCCTACATCTATTACCCTCTTCTCTCTCCAGCCAGGAACATTCCTCTCTCTGGGGACATTAAATACCATTTCCCTCCTGCTCACAACCAAAGTGAGCTCCAAGGTCCTCATCAGGTGGGTCCAACAGCTCCTCACAGAGTATTGGTCAGGGACTCGGTACCACATGGGAAATCACTCATTTTCCTTACCCGTGCTGTGCCCTCTGAATTGTCATAGGTGTCCTCTGCTCCTCGGTTACCTTTGGAATAAGCCAAAATCAGAGGTTTTAGAAGTAGAGAAGCCATGAAAAGCCCTGGCATTGCCTGTGCCTCAGGAGGTGTGGGGAAGGCCGTGGGATTGCCCAGTGATAGGAGCAGTGGATGTGCAGTGGGACCCCTCTGCCCTGAGCCTGGGGAACACCTTGGGCTCACTTCAGTTCTCCCCTAACATGTTTGCAGGTTCCTGTGCAGGGTCTGCAGCAACCCAGGTTTGACTTATTGTGAGCAGAGAAGGCAGCGAGGAATCTGCCTTGAGGCCTCCCAGCCTGCAGCTGCCTGATCTCCAGGGCACTGGGAGCTGGGAACGAGCTCACCTGGAGGGGGAAAGCGATGGCAGATAGTCTGTTTGGTACAGACCAGGACAGGAGGCATCCCCAGCTCCACATACCTGTTCTCTCCAGGAGCTTTTGCAGCCTGACACACAGCGCTACCAAGGTGATGAGAGCCAGGATGAGCAGGATGCTCAGCACCACAGACAGTAGGATGAAGGTGTTGACATTTGAGCTGCAGCCAGGAGAGCAAGGGAGTTACCAGTGTTGGATGGTGTAACAGCCCAGTACCAAACAGTGACCAAAAGGGACAGGTTTCATGTTCTCGGTTCTATGCACTCAGAAGGAGGGTCTGGTTCTCCTGCAGCAATGCAATCTGGATTTTTCTACCTGGTTGTGCCTTCTGAGCTTTTCCTAAACTATTCTCCAGGCTTTAGAAACAAGGCACTGTTCAAAGCTCTGAGCACAATTCCAGGCTCTCTGGAACAGGAACTGTCTTTTCCTCCTGTGTTTTGCAGCACCTGGTGCACCAGAGCTGATTTTACTAATCTGCCTCCTCCTCTGGAATTATGCTCTGGGCAGGAGCTGGAAGAGGAGAGGCCAGCTTTGGTAAGGATCCTACCATATTTAATCCCTCTGTAGGCAGGAATCAGAGTACCCAGGGATTGCCTGCCCCAGATGTTTTGTGGACAAAACATGAATAACTTGTGTGTGTTCAAGCTCAGAGACTCTTACCTGGGTGCTGGGCTGTTGCCCAAAGGAGTTGCTTGACTTGTGCCTTCGGTGTCTGACAAAGCTGCAATGGCAGGCATGAAGAGAGGAACAGTCACAAATGCTTTGCATTTACCAGTGAAACCCCCCTGCCATTGCTGTTCCTGTGCCCAGGGGAGGGTGTGCAGAACCCACGTGCTGGGACTTTTTCCAGAGCATCACTGTCCCCTCCCATGGTCTGCACTGCCTGTTCCTCTAGTCCTTCAAGAGCCAGCTTGCAGCTCAGTGCCATCCCTTACTGTTAGAGCATCATGCTGAAAGAGAGCCCAAGTCACAGATCTTTAAAATACAGGTCTAAAGGTTGTTCCCTTGACAACCCAGTGTGAAGGTCTTAATAGCCTTTGAAAGCCAAGGGATGAGTCACTATAAAGGGGCAGAACTGGTATCAGAGGATGAGAGACAGAAACACCTCTCAGGACAGCTGAACCTGCTCCCAGGTTAAAGGGGAGCAGCACAGCACACGTGTGGTTCACCTCTCATCCCTGCTGCTACTCCATAACGTGGTGGCCATGAGAAGGTCCAGTGCTGTAGGGTCAGGCAAACACAGGCAGGTGTAAGGTGTGAGGTGGTGTAAGCTGGGCAGTGCAGAGGGACAGAGCGGGAAAGTGAGTCTGGGATCTACAAACACAGTGTGCTGACAGGTCTGTACGTACCCTCGGAAACCTCGAGTGTGACCTCCTCCATCCGGGAGAGACCAGAGCTTTCATGGAGCGCACACCAGTACACGCCAGAGTCCTGGGCCTGCAGCTGCTCCATGGTGATGGTGACAATCCCCTGCTGAGTGTTGTCCTGGATCCTGACTCTGCCATCCTGAGATGTCCTTTGGTTCCCTGAGGGCCCTGAGCTTGTGGTGACCAGGATCTCACATGATGTCCCTGCTTCCTCTTTGCACCAGGCTTTGCTCACAGCCCCGTAGTCCGTGGTCTTGTACTGACACTGGACAGAGATGTTGCCTGACTCCTTAGCTGTGTACTGCTGGGTCCCTGGAAAACATCCGGAATGCTTGGTGAGATCCCAAAGCAGGCACAGTGGCACCCTGGATCTGCTTCTACCTCCAGACATGTGGAGCAGAAGGGGACTGGACCCAGATTACTGGGGGCAAAAATGACTCATAAACTGAGACACTCTGGGACACTGCAAGTGCAGTAGGTGCTCAATGTGGGGCACTGCAAGTGCAGTAGGTGCTCACTGTGGGACACTGAGAGGGCAGTAGGTGCTCACTGTGGGACACAGAGGGCAGTAGGTACTCACTCTTGAAGACAGAGAGCACGACCTCCATTACTCGGGTGCGGTCGGAGCTCAGTGCACACCAGTACGTGCCGGTGTCCTGGGCCTGCAGCCTCCTCATGGTGACGGTGAGAGTATTCAGGTGGTCGTACATCAGCGATGTTCTGTCGTGTGGAGCTTTGCTCTTGCTCCGTGTTGAACGGGAATCTGTGCTTGCCATGACTCTACACTCAGTCTGCCCTTCTCTCCGGCACCAGGTCATGCTGTACCCCCAGATGCTGCGTGGGCACTGCACCCACAGAGTGTCCAACTCCCACTGGAGCACCTCTGAAACGCAAGGTGGTCACTTCCCAATGAGCAGTGGGCACAAGGGCATCCACCTCCCTCCCCGAGCTGGCCATCTGGGACAGACCCTGCCCTGGGACGACGCCCTCATGGAGAGCCCCTCATCAAGGCAGGGGTGAGGTAAGGCAGGACAAGAGGTTGCTGGGAACCTGCAGGGCCAGCCAGGTCTGTGGGGCTCCTTCACTCACTGGGGAAGGCAGCAAATGAGGCTGAGGAGTGGGGCTGGGGGGATCAGGGGAAGCTGCTCTGCTCTGGGGGAGAGGGGAGCAGGGGAAGGAATGACGTGGCTTTTTGACAAGGTACTCACCCTTGAAAACGTTCAGTGAGATCCTCTTCAGTGGAGAACTGCTAGAGGAACTTAGACAGGCGTATGTGCCTGAGTCCTCTGCCTTGAGGTCAGTCATGGTGACGGAGACGATCTTATCAGTGGGGTAATCCTTTATTGTAATTCTGTCTGTGGTTTGGCTCGAGTACTGGGTGCTTGCCCTCAACTCATAGGATTGGTCATTTGTCAGGCGGTACCAGTGTTTCCACTGATTACCAGAAGTCTTGTCTGTGTAAGGACACCGGACATACAGAGTGTCCCCTTCCCGTCGTGTCTCCTTGGCAGGAGGTGCTTGGGCTTGGAGACCTGTAAATATCAGATGTGCTGAGGGAGAGGGGAGCTGAAGCAGGGCTGCCCACAGCCTTCCCACGGACACGGGGAAACAGGCTCTGACCTTCCCCTGTGGACACTTGTATCTGGAAGGACTCCAAAAATCAGAGTCTGTTCCCCCTGCTGAATTCACCTGCTTGCAAACAGGAGGGCTGATTTCTGGTGGGAAGTGCTGAGGTTTGAGCTGGGATTGCAGCTGTGGTTTAAAGCCCACAGACAAGTGGTGCTTGAGGCGTTGGACCTTCAAGCCTGACTGGAGACATCCATGGCCTGACTGGAGACATCCAGTGTTGGGAGCTGTCCCAGCAAACCAGCCCCGTTGTCACTGCTCCTCGTTCAGGCAAATGGAGACCAACCCCTGCCCACACAGTGCCTTGGGTGTTGGTGGTCTGTTCAGGGTGGTGGGACAGGGCAGAGGGAAGGAGCCAGAGCAGGTGTGTGCAACCTGCAGCTCCTCTGTGCCACATCCCTGAGGATGCCCAGCAACCCCTGGCTGTGAGGCTGTGCAAGGTGCAGGTTGCCTTGATTCCCCAGCCTACCCCATGCTGGAAGCTTTGTGCTCTCTGCAGGGATTTGGGGCAGGCGGTGCCCACGGACACTGTCCTGATCCAGGGCTGCAATTGGAGGCACTGAGCTGGGCCAGTGTGATGGGAAATCCAACTGGGAGAGCTGCTAGGGCTGCTTTGGAGGTCACAGCTCTGTGCTTCCAGGCTGGTTTGTCCTGGGAGCCTGGAGGAGCCAGATGTATGTGGTGGGAACTGGGGCTGCCCTTTCCCTCCCTACCCCTGCAAGTGAGTTTCCCCCATCAGAGTCCAGCCGAGGTTGGGGGTTCCCCCACTGTGGAGCTCCCCAGGCAGTGGGAGGTGGGGAAGGATGTCCCACTCCCCTGGGACATGCCCAGCCCTTCTCTTACCTGGGAAGCAGAGCAGCAGCAGCAGGAGGGCTCTCAGCTCCATGGCCACGCTCAGGCCCAGGGAAGGGGCATTGCTGGGGGCTGCCCACCCTGTCTGCCCCTGTGTGTCTGCCGTGTGGTCCCTCCTGCCTCGCAGTGGCACGGCTGGAGGAAGTGCCTGAGGTCTTGCCTCAGGCGGAAATACCTCCCCATGTTTTGTTACAACATTGATATTAAGATGATTTCTGGGTGCATTTGGGGAAGTGCTGAGCACAGCCTGTCCTGATGTCAAAGGCCCGTTGCTTCTCTCGCCTGGCTGGTGTAATTTGCTTTGTCACTCTGCTCGTCCACCCCCCAGCCATGAGGCTGCCTCCTCTTCCTCCCAGGCGAGCAGGGGACGGGGCTGAGTTTGCTATCCACCCGCAGATTTTGGGCCCCAATGCCCCTGGTTGGTTCTGTGTCCTGGTGTGTGCAGGTGCTCACCAGCTTTTGGGTTGGTTTCGGGGTGTGGGGTTTGTTCTCTCGCGCTCCGGTTGCAGCCGGATGTTTCTCTCTCAAACTGCTGCCAGGTGCTCCGAGGCTGCCAGCTGAGGCTGCCAGCACCAGCCCGGCTGTGTCCCTGGAGCACATCCCCAGAGAAGTCCCTCCCTCTGAGACATCGTGTCCCCAGAGACAACACTGCCTCTGTAAGTCTGTGCTGGGCACTTCTGGCCAGGATCCGTCCCTGGGGAAAGCAGGACAGGGACTTCTTCCCTTAGTGCATCCTCTGAGGTGCTTAAAGGTCCATCTTAAAGAACTGATGAATGCTACTCATACTAAATTTATGGGATTTCCTTTAGGTGCACGTGGGAAGGGAATTATGAGGTTTTAGCTGGACTTGGTCTCTCCAGTTCCCACAGGAAAAGCTCACTCATCATCTATTGAATCTGGCCCTTTTTACTTCAGTGGATATTGTACATGGGTTTCCTGGGCAAACTTGGACTGTTGTAAGATCTTAATGAATTAATCAGATGAATGAATTAATTGGAATACTATGAGCAAATGAATTGTAAATAAATGGATTCAGGGATCTTAGTGCAATGTCACTGTGATGTGCCACAGGGAGGACACACCATCAGCCATATTGTCAAAATTTCCAGCATTTGTTTCTTTCCACTGAAAGCAAAGAGAAGGAATGTTGTATCTCAGCATCCCTCTGCATTGCTAATGGAAAAACGGGATCTTTTCCTTATTCCAAATTCAGTTTTTATTATATTGTCAAGGATAACACCAATTTAAGTAAAGAATGATCTGACCTTTCATGGGAAGCAAATATATTTTGGGGTTCAAATTCACAAATATGCACTAAAATGTAGTTCTCCTCAAGCAAAGATTGCTGCCTGGCTGTGAAGGTCTGGTGTAGCAACTGTTCTTTGAGTTGCAGTGTTGGGGGATTCCTTGGTTTCAGTCTATCCTGCTGCATGAGTCAGGAACAGTCCCTTAAAAGAGGAAGGATTTGTGCTGTGTGGCTCAGGGCTCACTGCAGTTCAGCCCAGTCCTTGGAATGGCTGGTGGGTTCAGTGTGTGGACCTGAGAGAAAGGGAGGGATCAGGCAGGAAATCAGTCATCAAAAGATGAGGAGATTCTCCAGCTTCGGTTACAGCTCAGTTCTGTGCTCAGGGACAGAGCTTTTCATACCTATTCAAGCTTTGTGTCTAGAGATACAGTGAGCACAAATATCTGTGGAATTATATTCCCTCTGTGGAATAGCTAACAGGCCTGAGCTGGCTCTGCGGAGGCTTCAAAAGGCTGAGGATATAAAAGGTTTGGTAAGGAAACAGAGGACGGTGTCAGTCGTGTGTGATAGTGAATCCCTGCCCCTCATTCCTGGGGGCTGCTGAGGCAATAGGACACGGGGATTATCCCAGTTCCTCACGCCTTCTCTTACCTGAACAACAGAAGATTGGCAGCAGCAGGAGTTTTGGCTCCATGCCTGTCTTGGAGTCTCAGAAACAGGGAGAAATGTTCCGTTTTTTGGCATCCCATAAACTTCCATGTGGCTGATTCTGCATCCGGGTGCTTTGCAGGCCTGGGCTCAACAGGGAATGGGGAACAGCTTCTTCTCTAGCTTTTCTCTTCCTTTCCCTTGGCCTCCCCAAGAAACTTTGCTCCATGGAAATCCAGGCAAAGCCAGTTCTCCAAGTGAGCAAAGCCACCTGTGGAATCCTCCAGGTCAGTCACTGAGTGTGCGTCAGAGCCACCACCAAAGTCCCCTTTGGTGACAGCTGTCACAGCTCTGGGGGGACTCACTCATGGATGTTTCACAGCTGGCTCTGCCCCAAATAGCTGCTTTGGGAAGCACAAACAGTGAAAGGTCTTGTTTGCCTTGACTCCAAGCTTCCCTGGCCTTTGTCTCTCTAGCTGTTGTGAGGATGCTGGAGGAGGCCTGTCCTTCCACTCTGCTCCCAGACACCTTGTACTTGCCATGCTGGGAATCGTGCCTCTCATCAGCAGGGCTTGGCCAAGTCCCTTCTGCCTCCCCTTGACATCCCCGTGTCCTTCTCTGCCCTTGAAGGCAGTGACAGCAGAGCAGTCAGTGGCAGTGAGTCCTCTGCCAGCACAGTGCTCACAGCGGGGTCCCCTGGGCCAGTACCTGCCCCGCTCCACCAGAGCAGCACAGAGACCGTACTGACACCCTGGCTGCGAAGAATTTCCAATTATATGAATAAGCAGCTTATTAACAATACATTCTGGCTAATCATTTCGTGCTAGATATCTCCGCATTGTCTTGTCCCCAAATCCCTCTCTCATCAGGCACTTGATGCTCAGTAACGAGAAGAGGGAACGCGCTCGTGCTCTTGCGAACAAATCCCAGGAGTCTGCAATTAGTTCAGTTTCTGCAACCGGTTGCCTACAAACTGAGCCAAGAACTGTGCCTCATCCCTTCCCATGGCATTTGCTGCAGCCAGGAGGTCCTTTCTGAGGAGAGGCTCTTTGGGACGGGACAGGTCACGAAGAGATGCCTGCTGAGGACTCGGCATCTTGGAGCAGCAAGAACATAATGAAGGTGGTCCTTTTGCTGCATCTCTGGCAGAGGATCAATATGACTTTTAATTATAGAATCACAGAAAAGAAGATGAATGTTATCTCAGAAGGTCACTTAATCCAGCCCGGTGACACAGCTGGATCAGCTCTTTCCATGTAATTTCTAAAGATCTGTTTAACCAGTTGAGGTTGCAGCGTTCCCAGTGACCTGTTCCAGTGCTGCATCAGCCCTATTTGAACATTTCTCCTAACTCTGACTCTCCCTGCTATTTAATGCCTCGTTCCCTTTGTATCCACCGGGAACTCGGAGAGCAGCCCCTGTTAACGTGGGTGGGTCAGATCGTGGTACCCCGGGTGGATCAGCCCGTGTTAAGGCGGGTGGGTGGGTCAGCCCGTGGTACCCCGGGTGGCTCAGCCCGTGTCCCAGCCCGTGGTTCCCCGGGTGGCTCAGCCCGTGTCCCAGCCCGTGGTTCCCCGGGTGGCTCAGCCCGTGTCACAGCCCGTGGTACCCCGGGTGGATCAGCCCGTGTTAACGCGGGTGGGTCAGCC